GCGTTAATACCCCAGCTTTGAGTCCTCTTGCTGTTGCTAAGGAGAATACAGTCAAGATTTTTAAAGAGTTGGGGGTGGGGGTGAAAGCAAAGACAGATGAATAGACGTTCATGACAAGAAAGAGGAGGAAATGAGGCATTGGATGACTAGATTTCAGCTGGAGGAGGCAAATCTGTCAATTCAGCTTAAAGGTACATTCCCATTACTTCCTAAATGAAACTGAGTGTGGCTCACAGATAGGTGCACTGCTGTTCTTTACACAAATTACAAGATAGCAAACACATTTAGCTTACCTACGAGGGGATGTCCTTCTAGCTGCTTTTTCAAACTGTAAAAGAATAAAATATCTGACGCATTGTGCTGTTTTTGTCAGACATTGTGCACTAAACATTTTGGTGTTTTTAACTCGGTGAGTAAATGTCAAAAGGTGAGGTTTTAAAGCTTTGAGGCAATAAAGGAGGCACTCTACTACTAGTGGCTTATCCGGAGGTTTATAAAATGACTGCAGCAGTCTAATGCACCAGGTTTTGGGTTTGGCTTGTATTTGTCCAAGTGTTGTTAGGGCAAATCTGGGTACCAGAACGTACAAGCTGTCAGAGCACTAAGACGATTGGGAGACAACTAGGTTATATTTTTTTTTCTTATTTATGAAGGCAAAAAGTTTAATTTGGAAGAACATCAGATGGATAAGGGTCAACAGAAAGCTAATACTAACAGATGTGCGCCCTTTATATGTTTACAGGTTGCCGTCACTCAGTCGTTTCATCCCACTTAGTGGAAATCAAAGGTAGGACAAAGTCGTTGTTTTTAGCACACTTAGGACAAAAGTAATGACATTTTCCCATGTTCCAAGTAAAAAATCTGCCATTGGTACTATTACTTTTTCATCAATATTAAAGAATGGTTGGCTTAAAACAAGCTCCCTTATCTTGCTGAAAAGTTACTTGTAAGTTAGGCTTGTCTTATTTCAAATGTGCTATGATATTTTCACTAGAAACTAGAATAAAAATACTTTAAGATTTTGTGTTTTTGCAGTGCACCCACATCGTAAGATCTTAAGAAGTGTGAAAGTCCCAAGTTGAGTTGAGCTCCAAAACTTTTAGTTTCGAGTCTTGCTTGACTAGCTGTGTAATTTACTCATGCTAATAATAATTTTGAGATTTCAAAATAATTTTAAAAGCAATTTAAAGTTTACCTGCTGTGTTGGCCAACATTGCACAACAGAGAAAGCAGTAGGGTAAAATTAACTTTAAAATAATCTGAAAATTAATGTTTGTGTTGCTTTTTACAATAAATATTTACAAAAAATCTAGAAAATTAAAAAAATCCTGAACAACTGATCCATAGAAAAATAAGTAGATTTTTATACAAATAAAAATTATTTCCATATAAATCAATTGCACTAGCACAAACATGCTTGTGCGTGACATAGAAATACTAAAAAATCAACTAAAATTTAAATAATTTTCATTTTACATATGTTAATATGTAATATTGGATTTTCCAAAAGCACCCAAAGTTGTCAAATAAATATTAGCTAATTTAATCAGAAAATTGGTCGGGCTGATGCGGTGAATAAGTCTTCATGAATGCAGACTGAGTGTCTGTGTAGTACAGCATTAAAGTACATTTAATTCCCCTTACCCTAAATGCTGTAGTAGTGTCATATTTGTTGGTATATAAAGTGTCTCTAAATGTTGACTGTCATTTTCTGACATGCACAAAAAAACCCAAAAATTAAACACTGGGTTCTTACTTAAACTTCTTGGAATATTTAACCTTTAACTTAAACACTTTAAATTACATCTGAAGAGATTAAAGACTTTGATAAGCTGATGTACTTCTATTTTTTAACGGTATCAATGACAAAGTAAAGGCATTAGCAACATCCCTACCTAAACTTGCTCAGCACACATGCAGGAAGCAAAATTTAAAACAAGATTTTCTTTGGAATGAAGCACGGAGGTCGCTAGCAAATGCTCCATCCATCATTGTGTTTACATTCCAGACATTCAACCATGTACACTTTTGGCACCATCTGCTACATTTCAAAGGGGAATGGCAAGACTATACAGTAAGAGCTACAGTTTGCACACGGAGCGAGCGTTCCCACAGGAGCGCCGCTCTACTTCTGTGACGGAAGGAAATAATCACTCCACAGGGGCTGCTATTTTTATCTTGATCAATTCATCTCCGCACCTCCTGATATGACACACCACACCGTGCGAGTTAGTAAGTTACATAACACGACTATCTCTTTAATCAGCCTGATTATCATCTCCAGGCTCCCGACAGCGAAAAGCATAGTCCGCCTTTTCGCATTAGTTAAATAAGCGTCGGGTTTTACCTTCTCTAGAGAGGCTGATGTGAAAGAGCCTCGCAACTTATTTACATCCCGCAATTCATCCTTTTCTGCTTCCAAGTCGGAGTGGCGGTTAAAGCCGGGGGATTACATCCTCGTGCAAATGAGGCTCTGACCGAGACGAGAGCCTGAGCAGCCGGTTGCACATCATCCTCAAACTGTGTTCGTTTTTCACCGTACTTACTTCTTCTCCCGACTGGAAAGCGTTGAGGAATCTCAACAGAAAACTCATTAGAGCAATATAAAGTTTACCAGCTGCATAGGCCCATATTGCATAACAGAAAGTAGACATACTTTTGATGCCTGCAGTGATTCAAGCCTCACTAAGCACTTTATTATGCAAGGATAAAGAGATGCATAATAACAGCGTAGAGAGTTTGGGACTGATTTACGCTGTGGTGAGGCAAGAAATTAGAGGTTGTTATTATGCAGCATTTCTTAAAGAAAGAAAAAAAGATATGATCTTGTGATTTTCTTTCACTAACAAATGTACACAGGCACTAAGAATCAAAGCTTGGCTACCCAAGTTTAGATTTCCATTGGAGAATTTCACAAAATCCATTTTTACCCAGAACATTGAAGAAAAGTCTCGATTTCACAAGTTGAGCAGGAATCAAACTGAGCAGCTGACATTAACATGCCAGATGATTGGCTTTGACAGATTTTGACATATGGTACATACTAAAGTTGTATTGATCTTGTGATATGAAAGTGTGTGAAGTAAGCGGTCTGGATGCAAAGATAAGTGCGTTAGGCTTGACACTATATTCTAAGTATTTGTAAGACTCTTGTTTTGAAGTATGAAAAGAAGTAGCTTTTATGTTTCCTTGTTGTGCTGACTGGACCAGTCCGGTAAACACGTCCACTGAAGCCACCTGACAAAACTCACTTGCAAAAGTAATGAAGAAGTTTCCAACACTTAAATTGTCTGTGGAGACTGCTTAGAAAATAGACAAGATATGAACTCCTAAAATGCACTGTCACAACGGCGTGACTAGCTAACTGTTAGCTCCTAACGTGCTAAAGTTTTATCTAGAATTTTCTGACTATAATACTGTCTAGTTTATTCTGGACTACTTTGTCTGATGCTGTAAAGCTGGCATCATTACAAAGACTCTTGCATGTTTTGGAAATAAAAACACTTCCTTGCTATGACTATTCAGAAATGTGACATTTTATTTCATTCACTCACTGCAGTTCTCTTAACCTTAATTTTGTAAATTTGTAAATACAGTTATAGAACACGGTTTCATGAGGATCTTGCAAATTCTTCAACTCAAAGTACATAGAAGAAAAAGTATTTAAAGGCTGATGGATCTACTGTATGCTTATGGGTCATTTTGAGCGCAAGGGATTAACTGACGCTCACTTAGTAATTACTAGAATACAAATAGTTCTTCAAAACAAAACCACTTCCTGTTTTATTCATCCAGAAATTTCATAGTAACTGGTTTTAACCATTTTCTAGATTCTTATCTGCAACTTCAATGCAGAAAATTCCTTTTTGTAATAGTAAAACGTACATCTCTTCATATAGCATAAAGTAATGTCATGCTATCCAACCCGGGCGCTTCACTCCCTTCTGTATGCTGAATGCTTGAAACAGAAACTGAAAATGACTTCTACATGCTAACAATTATCTGACCACACGGGGGCGCACATAGAGAATTGAAATTGCATTCCCAGACATCGAGTTGGGAATGCAACTCAACGTTGCATTTTCTCACATTTTCCCAAATGTGAGAAAATAAGCTAAAAGAAGACGGTGACATTAGAGCAAAAGTAATGTACCCGGTCCGGACACACTTGAATAGTGGCTCTAACAACCTTTGTCCCAATCCATGTGCTGTATACAAAATGGGAGCACATTCAAAGCAACGTACATACTTCCAAGATGTTCCACAAAATTCTCTTCAGTTCCACATGTTTAGATCCATGAAACGCATGTTTTTTTCAGTACGTACTTTTGCAGCTGATAGTGTGGTACACTCAGTTACCATAATGGCAACACCAACACAGTGAAGTATGGAAGTGAATCGTATCAGCTGAAAAAGTAATAAACAATCCAAACTCTTTAAAAAACTTGTTTACCCCCCCAACGAAAAAGACACTGACTCCAACTTTCTGCTTCACAAAATGCAAACAAAAATGGAGCGACGTCAGATTTTAGTGGTGGTTGTAGAATTTCTCTTTTGTCTTTGGCTACAGACCATGAGCCATTTCGCCCGCCACCGCTGGACTCGCATGTTTGATTTGGTTGTATTTACCCAGAATGCCCTGCTTTTGGAGTGCTCTCCGGTCCGCTTGGCATTCACAAATGCATTCGATCAAAAATTCACTTCAACCAAACTGAGACCTAGGTTTGTAGGTTCGCTTTCTTGGTGTACATGAGAGTTCGATTTCGTGTTAAATTAAAGCGGACTAAACAAAGCTGGTGTGAATTCACCCTTAAGTTTAAGTCTTATGTGATGTCACTGAAGAAGGCTCATTTTTGAGTGAATACATTTTATCCCAGTTACAGTTTACAACAATATAAACTGTTGTAAACTGTAACTGGTTACAGTTGTAACTGTAACTACTAGATGTATTTGTAGATTTTACAACTACGTCTATTTTAGATCAAAATCAACTACTTTAGATATAGTTGATTTTACACAAAACTTTAAAGAAAGATATCGGCGAAAAGAAACGCAACTCGCGCACAAAATGCACAGCGCTTCATTGAACTGTGTAAATGTCAATTTTGTCATAAAGACTGAATTCAAATGTCATGTCAGAAGCCATAAGACGCCGCTCTGGGAGGACCCACCAGATGTCCGCGGTGCCCACCGGCGCATGGGGACAGGAGGGGTGGTGGGGGGGCTGGTGTCAGCGGCGGCTCTGCATATTGCAGGGTTTCTGTCAGAGTCGGGACCAGAGCCAAGCAGGACTCAGGAGCGCTGCGCTAAAACATTCTGTTCTGGATCTTGAGCCGCGCCTTCAGGCTGCGGAGAAGAGTGCGTGTGTTGCGGGAGGGGGCTGGAGGATAGAGAGGTGGGAGGTGGAGCTCTGGACAGGTGCAGCTTTTTTTTTT